CTAGGGTCAGTCGAGGGCTTTGTTTCATCTCTACTGCTGGCTCCTAGTCGGCAGTAGGAGTGACTTACTGGCAGGGGCAAAAGGCAGAAAACTTGATGAATAATTTCCTCACCTTAGGACTGAGAGGTGGTCTTGTTGATGTGAAGAGTTTTGCATTCTTATAAGACCTGTTGTGTAGTAAAATCATCGACTTTCAAAAATGCCTTCTTGCAAAGTACCCTTCCTTCTCATTTTTTTTCAAAATCATTTTTTTGTGCGATGGTATTCATTATTTTACAGCTTTCGTGTAGGCAAAGATGCAGTTACAATATGAATGGACTCATTGTTACTGCATAATTATATTGCCTATGAAATTAAAAGTAATTATTTTTGTTGTGTTTCCTTCTCCAAAGGAGTTGCTGTTGCTGAGCCCGTGTAAAGCTGCCGACTTGGTGGCCATTCACTTCAGTGAGCAGATTGAGAACATTATTACAAACCTTCAGGTAAAGTTCGTTGATGTTGATGCTTCTTTACAGTGGGGTTGCCATTCTTGTAAGAAATGTGTGCTAAGAGTAATGGTAAGTTGTCACTGTGTCATAAACATCAGGAAAATAGCTTGATAGCTACTCAGCTGCAGGAATTGCTACATTTAAGTTATTTGACCTGTTTGTAGAGTCATGGCCATAAAAATGTACGATCTCTGAGTCGCTACTTGCATCACTTGATGCACTTTTTAATTTGGAGTTCAGTGTGGCTTGCACTCACAGATCAGACAGAGCAAGCATATCCTTTGAGTATTTACGCAAGGCAAATGCCTGAACCAACTTCTTCAGCAGGCACCAGCTGTGAACAGTGTTCTCTTCAATGGATATAGTTCAGGAATCACTGGATTATAGCACGTTATTTAAAATAGTAATACTTTGTCTCCTGCTGTTGTACAGGACCAGTTCTTACTCTTCCAGTTTCTGAGGAGTCTCCTTGATCCGAGGTATGTGAGAAAAATGGACCGTTTACAAACTACAGCTTGAAAACATGGGTTAAAATAAATTCTTTTGAATCGATGTATTGATAGACAGCCTACAGCCAAGATTAGGGCTTAGAAAAGGTGACTTGGTCTTCAGGCTGCCCAAAGTTGAGAAGGATAGCCCAGAAATAAGTGTTCTGGGAGTATCCTTTAGCAGAGCCCTTGCTAGCTTCCTAACTGGGAAGCGGTGTGGGTTCCAGTACATGCAATGTGATGCCTCCCCCACACTGGTGGGAGTTTGAGCGTTGCTCTAACAGCTTCTTTGAGAAGGCTGTGAAGTGGTTACCCTGTGACTGAAAGTGCCGTTGCTCTTCTTGGAAATGGCAGTTTCTGTTCGCAACCCACCGATTTGATTACTTGACCAAGGTGCCCAAATTTAACATAAAATGTTCTCTTTCTGTTAAGTCTGTTTCAAATGCTACAAGACCTTGATTTAATTTAGCTGTTTTGTAAGACACATATGCACAGCTCCAATTGCCTTCAAGCAATTGTTAATGCAATTGAAGGAGAGATCTTGTTTTATCAATTATACAAATTAATTGTGCTTTATGAGGAGGAGGAAAAGGTATATTATCTAAATTCAAGTGTCCATGTTTCACTTCTTGTTGAAGTGGAATAAAAAGCATGATTTGGAAGCTAGAACCTGGAATTAATTGCTTTTTGGATTCTGTTAGGGTGTAAATTAAATAAAGACAGACATGTTTTGTTATTTCCTGAGTTTTACAGCCATGTTGGTATGGAGGGTGTTAACTTCCACACCTATTGTTTTCTTAGAAGCCAAAATAAAATCAGAATTTTGACAAGAAAATACCTTGCTTGGGTTTTATAGGAGAGAAATTAGATTATTTAGTTAATAAATGAATAATTAAAAATAAAATTGAATAGTTAAGCAGAAATGATACCCAGCTGGATGTTAAGTAGGACTTTGTTTATGATGTGATATCACTTGCAGCAAGTGAGACCCAAAGAAGGTAGTAATTAACCTGGATTTTAATCTTATGCATAGTGGCTTCCGTAATCTCTGAGTAATAAACGTATCTAATTTAACTCTACCATAATTAGAGCTAAATACAACCATTTCTCCTGTAGTTATCTTCTAATCAAAAGCAGCACACGATGTGTTCAAACCAGCAATAGGAAGCAACTTTCTGTATCTGACCTTTCAAAAGATCTCTGCGTTTCCCTCCAGGGCTGATGTTCAGCCAGGTGCATTAAGCCACGTGGCTTGTCTCGTTGTGCCATGTGTGTCTCAGGAAAGTTTATGAACGGTTCCTTTTCCCTCTGTGTTCCAATGCCCACTCATTCTCTGCTCTGCAGTAAGATTACGGTTGGACTTGATGATCTTTGAGGTCTCTTCCAACCATAATGATTCTATGATTCTATGTGCAGCACCCCAAGTAATGGAGATAAACCGTGTGCTGACTGGCGCGTAGTTGCTAGAATACACAATAAACAAAAGATAAGTGGGACGGTTACACAGAAAAATGAACAAAATACTACTAAATACTTTGGATTCACGTGTGGCAGTGACTGACCGTAAAGCAGAAGGTCTGGAAGCCCAAGATTTAACCTATTCTTTATTAAACTATGTTGTCAGTAAGAAGTGTTTTGTAGAGATCCTAGGTTGCTGAAGGGGCTGCTTTTTTTAATAAGACTCTAGGTCCTGCGGTCTGTTTTCAGTGCTATGGGGTTGTCTGCTTCGAAGAGCCGTTGAAATGAGCTGAGCTGTATCCTGAGAGAGGCAGGGAAGGAGGGAGAAATCCTGCTGTGCCAGACCTAATCTCCAGATATACCTATGCTTTGTAGTATATCTACGTAAAATAATGATTAGGTTCTTCTGAAAACATCTGTCTCTCTTCAGTCAATCCTAATGTTTATATGCTTTTTTTTGAGTAAAATTCTTGTTAAAATGAAGACTCTTAGAGCAGTAAATGAGCTTTTAATGTCTCAAATACGAATGATTGCTTGATCGTATGGGGACAAGACTCATCATGCTAGTATAACTATCCTAGCTGGTGGAATTGCATTAGGGATTAATTTGGCCCATTTAATTTAGCTAGAGCTTTATTTTAAAGGAGGGGGAAGGGGGAAGGGAGGAAACAGGGGTAACAGAAATTGCCTGGGGAAATTAAAACCAAATGTCCGTATGTTTGTGTCTTATAAGCAGGCACAGAAAATGGAGAATGTAGTGTGTATTGCTCAGCTCATTAATCACTGCCTTTGCTACATTTCCATTTTAAACTCTTCCGTTTTTTTCCTCTAAAAAATACAAGGCAGTGAAGCATGTCTGTTTGCAGTATGTGTTTGTGTATTATACCAACAATATTAACTTACTTAGCAACGCAGTGTTCTGGGTCTGTAAGTATAGTAACAGATACCTAAACTTCTAGGTTCTGTTAAAATGGCACTTCTCACTGACCAGCGATCTGTGACACTTGCAAGGCTCGCTCGTGCCAGGTTTTGTTAGAAAACAGTGATTATCTTTGTTTGTTTGGGGTTTTTTTTGGTGTGTGTGTTTTTTTTTTTTGGAAGAGCAATTAGAGTATGGCAGGGGAGATGTTTGGCATGGTTATATTGAAGGTGAACATAATCACATTGAGCTGAGCAGGACCTGTAAGTCTTAAGACTGTTGCTTAGTTTGTAACGTTATCAAAATCCAGCTTTCTTTCCCTTCTCTCTTCTCTGCATGTCTAGAGTGAAATGGTTAAGGAAAAGGTCGGCTTGCTCATGAAGTCATGAATACTAGGTGCCAGAGTTATTTCCAGACTAGAAGTTTGCTCTCCTACTAAAAATGTATGACTTGCAGTTTTTCCCATTTTGGTAGACAGAGATCATTTTAGATAGATAGAAAGTGCTTATTTATTTTAGTCTAGTTGCGAACAGGGTAGAACACTCGCTCCCTTACAGGCACTGGGGGAGTTTATAGGGTGTGGATGGTGAATGCAGGAGGCCAGAATTTAGGATTCTTGTTTGGTCCTTCAAAAGTCCATCTGATGGCAGAACACAATAGTTTGGATACCAATTTTTGTACAACTGTGTCCATGCTTTGGACACTGAGATTGGTACCTGCATGAAGCTTTCATTTCTGGGCAAATATCATTTATAATCAAGTGATTGACGTTGTAATCACAGTAGGCTGCTTTTGGCTTGCTAGGGGCACAGCGTTCTCCTGGCCTTCCTTGGATGATGGTAATCCTGTTGGCTCTTGAAGCTCCCAGGAAATCTGGGATCATATTGTATATCAGACCTTTTCCACCCCATGGCTGTAGGGTTTGCGCATGAAAGCATCATCTCCTGATTAGGAATTTCTGTTCAGAAGTGTAACAAAACTAAATATATACCTTGAACTGTTTTCCTTCCTAGCAGGGTTTTCGGAACAGGTTTAAGAGCTCTGTTTCCTAGACAGGGTAAACTTCTGTTGTTTCTGCGCACGATGCATCAATCCTAGAACTGCCGCAAGAAGTTAACCTACAGTGGTGGTGAACTGCCGTTCATTTTGAAGGGTTGCAGGTGCTATATCTGTCTCTAGGAAAGTATCATCCTTTCCGTTGCTTCGCGTTGCTCTTTTTAAAAACAAGGTCAGTAGAAAACAGTCAGGACACAAGGACAGTCATGGGCACTGCATACAATTCTATTCTCCGTTTTGTTTACCCCACATTAGGATTTTACTTAATTATTAAGCCAAGGGATTAGAAAATGGCCACTGCACAAACCACTGCAGTGCCAGCAGCTGCTGCTGGAAAGGAATTGGAGAAATCCTTTTTACAGGGACATCTTTATTAAATGAGTTTAATTGTACTCTGAGCTTCACCTGCAGAAATTACCTTGGCTAGAATCAGAAGGGAAGCCCTAGTTTGGCCTCCTGAACAGCTCAGGCCAGGCAGCGTTATCCACAGCCCTACCCAGAAGAGAAGAGTGTCAGCTCTGCACTGCTGAGTGCCCGACCACCACGGCAGTGTTGCTGGTGACAGGTCAGGGGAGGTCAGGGAGATAACAAGGGTGGGAAGCACAGCAGAGGTTGGAGACTTCGCCTACCTCTCTTGATCGAGCAGATCCCATGCCGGGAGATGAGGCAGATGTCTTTGGTTCCAGCTGAATGTGGTTCTGTAGTGCAGCTAGTTGCAAAACCCTTGAGAGAAGATGCAGCCTTTGGGTGAACAATATGCAGGGTCTGGTTCAAAACCTTACAGTTGGCGATCTGCTCTGCCAGTGACCATGAAGTGCACAGAGTTATTGCCTCTGTGAGAGCAAAACCTAATTCACCAGTTTTCTTCTGTCTGAGAAGAGGAACTAAATAAAAATGCGATGTTTCCCTAAAAGAAACATGAGTTCATATCTCAATGAGGTAGATAAAAGGGATCGTATTCTAGCAGGTGAAACATTAAAATGTGATAAAGCCAAAGAAGAATTTCAGGAACGATAAGCAAAAAACAACAAAATATTTCTTTGAACACATGCGGAGAAGGTCTATAGGACAGATAGACAATCAGCATCTAAGAAGACCACTCAGAGTCCATAAGGTTTCATTGAAGAAATTAGGTAAGTTCTTTGTGCCTCTTTGCCATGGACTTGCTGAAGATGTATCTGTGCTGGTATTTTTCCTCACAGGGGTCTTTGATAGTCTTAATTTGTACTGAGGCATCAGTAGAATATGTTGTGGAACGAATGAAATGCCTACTAACAGACCTCCAGCACCAGTAACTAGTAGAAAGAGCATAATTTTTCTCTTAAAACTAGATTATTTTTTTTTTACTTCTGTATTAAGGATAAAAGACAACATACAACTGCATAAAAACCTCTTCTTTCCAGCCAAACTTCTGAGCTAGAATTTGACTTGAGTCTCCTGTGCCTTTTTTATTCCAGAGAAGGCATTAACCAAGACCTGATACGCTTGCCACCCTGCATCACTGAGCAGTTCATTGAGCTGCTGTGTCAGTACAGCCCAGACCAGGTTTTGGAGACACTTAAAGTTCTGGAATACTGCAGACTGGAAGAAACCATCCAGGTAGGAAAGACCTGTGTAAGGACAGGGACTAGGGGAAGTGTTCAAATCAGCTCCTACCTCTTTAAAGTACTGTATTAGTACTTTAGCCTAGGTTGTGGATTAGTTCCTGGATACTCTTTCAATCCATTTCTAACACTGTTTGTCCCCTCGAGCTGCTAAATTGCTCTCCCACAGCATGATTAGCTTTATTTAATATACTGATTCTAAGTTTATTCTCAGAGGTAATAAGGAAAATGCCGTTAGTGCTCTGAAGCTGCTGAGTAACTGCAGAGTAGAGACTGGCTGTTTTAATGCTGATTAATAGATTGAAGGTATATGAAATCATGGGCCTGGGCTTTTTGGAAAGGAACGCTACCAAAATTTGACTAGTGCTGGAGAGTGACTACTTCTTCACTTTATGAAAATTTTAACAATAATGTCTCCTTGATCTTGATCTACAGATTTATTTTTTTTTTCAAAAAGATGTTAATGGTGATGGTGGCAACAGTGCAAGTTGAGAAATAAACACAGCGTAGCCGGTAGCGGGGGGGAAGTAGGAGTGCTGCTCGGACTGGGTAACGTGCCTGCAAACACATGGAGACACAATCCTTTCTGACCATCTGGTCGTCATTTGTCTTGTGGAGTAAACAAACACTGGCAGATTTCTTAAGATAGACTTTTACCTTTTTTTTGTTGTGTGTTGGTTTTTTGTGTTTTGTTTTGGTTTTGTTTGTTTTTTGTTTTTTCCTTTTAACTCAGATAACCCAGAAACATCAGCTCCATGAAGCTTCTTCATATTTACTGGAGAAGAAGGGAGATATCCATGCTGCCTTTCTGGTTATGCTTGAGGTATAGTACACTGAAATCCAGAATGTGGTGGTTTTACCATGGCAGCATGGCATGACATGCCGTCAGCATGATGGCCTATGTTTAGGTTTGATATTGTCATTGCTTCTCCATTTGTTTCCCGCTGGAATCGATGGAAGGATTTACCTTCTGTCAAAGAACAATATGTTGAGTTGTCTGCAGGCTCAGCAGATCAGTATAGTTTTCTGGCATGTCTTCAAACATCTAGTAGATAATAGATGCTGAAGTTTGTTTTTCTTAATCAAAAATCATCTTTCAGCTCCTTTCTTCCTTTCCATATTTGGAAAGACATTTATGCTACGTTAGTCATACTGGGGAGGAAAACGAGGGTGAGCCTTTGTAACCGTACCTTTTAAAAATGCTTCTGTCAAGATTCTGCAAGCTTACTGTTCTGAATTCTGTCTTTTGTTTCAGCGATTGCAGAGCAAGTTGCTGATGCTTACGCAAGATGATGAAAGTAAGAGTTATCAAGTTAAATTCCATTTTCTATTAAAAAGAGATGAACAGGAAAATGTAAAGTGCATATGTCTGACACCTGGGGTAATGAGATCCTATTTCAGTTTCTAGGTATTGCGGTGATGTCTTTTTAATTTATATTCGTATGGCTGTGGTAGTTTTTCTGATGACACTTCCTTATTCTGTTACTCTGATCTTGCTAGAGATCTAGAACAAGATGTGATGGATGCTTCTTTGTGTGTGTGGTCAGCTGCGCTGTTAGCTCTTTTGATTGTGACTGGTATCTTACTGGCTTACCAGACACATTTCTTAATCTTAGAATCCATTCAAACTCATTACTGAGCTTTAGCAGACTCTATATATGAACAATGATGAGAAACATCTGGAAGTAGCTTCTTTTGAAGCAAGCTTCTCAGAGAAATAAGAATGTTCTGCCTTCAGAAGATGAGTATATGCACAGGTGTGCTGTTCACTAGCCCCAGAACTCACAGGCACCTAATTAAATGCAGTGATAGTATTTGTTACCTAATTATATCCTAAACCACAGCTAATATCTTGCTTATTCGATTATGTGAAATGTTTTATGCGCTCAATTTATTGTGCTATTTGGGAAAAGTGCCAAAAATCAGGACCTGTCTTTATAATTTAGTTGCTCACTATAGCGAACAGACTTTAGATGAACAGCATGATTTTATTTTGCAGAACAGTTGGGAGTTAACATAGTTTTTATAATTGCAATTTGTTTTTTCTCCCCCAAAACTTAGGCTCAGCTGAACTCCCCTTGCTAGAAAACATTGAAGATACCTTAATGAAAACAATTGCCCTTTGCCAGAGAAATTCCCACAATTTGGACCAGCAACAGCGAGAGGTAAGGTAATAAAAAAAATTTATCACTAAAATCAGAAAGGGCTTCTGAATGTCCTGAAGCTTTCTCTTCACATGCTCCTTCCTTTCCTATTGGACACTGCTGTGTCTCAAACAGTCATTGTTCTCCTCTGCCTTGTGTTCTTCTTGCAGTGGTTCAGGTTTTAGACTCACAGGAGAGAAATCCTCACTTGTAAGGGTGAAGCACAAGATAAAGTGCATATCGGCAGTGGAGAAGCAGATGAGACGACATCCTTTCCCCCGTTTTTAGCTGCAGTCAAAATTTTGGCTTGAATGTCAATCAGACACTAAAGAAGGCATAGTAAGGTTTGAGCCAATTTTATGGTGGCACAAAGCTGATGCTGCTGTCACTATGGTGCTGCTCTGAATATGTTCGCAAATCCTGAATTTAATGTCAGCCTGGTCTCTGAGGAGTGGAGACAATACAGCTTGCTTGAACTCTTGCAGAGAGCTGGGTTTGCCTGTCTCCTTGTACCGAGGCTGCATTTCTATTTTGCCAATGTCAGTGACATATAAGGCATCTTTACTCCTAAGATCATGCATGACTCTTGTAACTGAACTCAAAACTGAGAACGTTGTTCCCGTGTTTGAAGTGGTGGCATGTCTGGAAGACAAGAACACTGTAACTTGTTCTGAGCATTGTCCAGTGTATGAGGTGACCTGCTCGGTTTCTTTTCTTAAATGACTTTTATTGTGTAACAGGTAGCTGCTGTGTTTTATTGAAGAGGTGTCTGTGTGCACACCCTGAGTGCTTATGGCCCACCTGCCTAATTGGATAGATTTGAGTTAGCATTTGCTCTTGCTCTGGGTCCTGTTCCCTGCTGGAATTGCTTTGTTGATGCCCAGGTTTTGCCTCTGGTCACCAAAAGGAGGACCAGCTTCCCCAGTATGACATTATATGAATTTTCCCAACTCCTGTATACTGCCTGGAGAATTTACATGCCCCTTTCCAGTTGGGATCTGTTTACTGTGCTACCCATTAGGTAAGCAGTCTCTACACCAGAAAGCTTATATTTCACATGGAGTAGTATTTGGTGACTGAATGAAGTAAAAGTAGATTGTTGTCTCTCAATTCCAGTAAAGAAACAGGTGAGAATGGAGAAGAGGGAACAACAGAAGCCAAAGGTCTTCTGTGCTCAGACCCCAATCAAATAGTATCTTGGTCTAAGGTATGAGCAATCTAGACTGAAAGCAGATCCCCAAGTGCTTTGCTCTGAGGTTATTTTAATGTTTCAGTTCTGTTCCACTGCGGACGTGAGAAATGTAGTTCTGTTCTTCAGAATGTGGAAGTGAGTCTTTGAAAATGGACTCTTGACATTGGTCACAGCTCGTTTTTAGTACTGCTATGTTCTTACTATTTTTTTTTCTCACATTCGATTATTTCAGGCCCTCTGGTTTCCCCTGCTGGAGGCTATGATGTCCCCACAGAAATTATCTGGTTCTTCACAGTGTCAATACTCCGAATGTAAGTATTTTGGCTTTTGTGACCCCAAATATTGATCAAAATCTGTGTGCTGTCTCTCCTCCTCTACTGAATGAATATAAGAAAAGCAGTTTTGCTACTCAATTCCTAAATTTTCTTCTGCTCCTGCAGTAGATCTGTACTGCAGTGGCTGTAGGACTGAGCTCAGGTTGGACTTTTGGTAGGCTGCAGCTGTCAGCTGAGTGGAAAAGGGGCCGTACCGGAGCCTCAGCTAATAAGTTGGTTCCATTGAGGATGGTCTTTTTGAAAAAGCCAATGTGCACAGCTTGTACAAAGGCTTTCTAGGTTTTAAGTAGGTTGCAATCTGCACTTTGGGAACTTCTGACATAATACACTGTCATCTTCCATGCGTCGCCTTTTTGTATGGTTATCCCTGCATGTGTCTATTGTATATAGACCCAGCAGAATTAGAATACATCAGCTAAATTCTCTACTCCAGTTCCAGTGCCCCGAATCTGTTGTGAGTGTTAGCAGCACATCTTGAAAAGCCTCCCTTTATGGGAGACTTAAGACTAGTTGAAAAGGGGCTTAGGTACTGTGGTCTTGGGACAGAATGGTGTCTTTTGGTCCATTCCAGCCCTGTGCTCCCCAGTGATTATAGTTGCGCGCGGTTAAGGATCACAACGTATTACAAGTAATTGCGGTGGATATCGTGCTGTCCGTCCTCCCTCTATTTATTTCCTTCCAGTGACAGTTAGCTATATCTGGACTCGTGGGGTTAGTCTTGCAGAGATCAGTAACCCCAAAATAAAAATCACTCCTCTTCCTTCAACTCATCTTTTCCTCTAAATTCCAAATGTCCCCTAGATTATCTGTTTTTTGGGAGCTAATGCTTGCACAAAAGTAATCATCTGAAGTGATACCAGAAATGATGACAGGATAATACACTTGGATCCTGCATAACTATTTTGTTTTCATTCCTAATGTGCATACTGCCCAAACTGCTCTAACTAGCTAATTATCCCCACAAAGAAGCTGAATTGCTGGGTCCATGTGTATCTGAGTATTGGCTCTTACTGTGGGGAACTGGGGATCCAGAACAAGTTTCATATAAAGGTTCATGCTAGGAAGTTTTAGAGTCTGTGGGACTATAACACGGACAGGGCATGCAAACTGTTTTTTGGTAGCAGTAGGAAAAATGAATGACAGTGCTACAAAGTAAGTCTTAAAATGTGAACGTTTACTGTAGGTAGAGTGTGGGAGGGGAACGGACAGGCATCGTGATATGAAAACTTTTAAATATACTTTCTGATACAAAAAGCTGTGTGTGCTTAGTGCAAAACATGCAGAAGAAAAAAGTATAAAAGCCGTTTTCAAAATAGAAAACATGAACTGAAATAACTGTCTTAATCCTTAAGGCTGATCTCTTTTTACTTCTTGAATCCTAATGAACTGCTGGTGGCTTTTATGTTTGATATTTCAGCTTTGAAGAGTTTGACAATGCAAGTGCTGAACAACATGGCTGCATTTATCGCTCTTCCTTCCATCCTGCAGAGAATTCTACAGGTGAGTTTCTGAAGAGAAGAAGCTTTTACCAAGCTGTGCTGCTCAGTTATTGGGAAGAGCAATTTCCAGGTCCTTAAAGATCAGATTAGCTTATTGTCTGCTTCAAAGTATTTCAGTAAAAGTTCAGTTGGTGAGATATAAGTTGGAAAAGCTGATAGAATGACCTGGGAGACTTGACGCTTTGAGGAGACATGTGAGAACGCATAGATCTGCGAGAAGATAACTGAGGTAATTTCTGTAAACCAAATAAAATAGTATCTCAAAGGTTTCAATTACTTTGAATGGAAACTTAGCGGTTTTAGTGGCAAACCCACTATGAATTTCTCAAAACTTGGAACTAAATTAGTTGAAAGCTATTTAGCTAAGGTTCTGGGATGGACAGTTGTGAAAACACTGAAGCAAAGTTTGTAGGCTTTGGAGAAGGAGATCATGATGGGCTGTTTTGATTGATGGTGCAATGTATCGTTTTAGATATGCTCGTTAGTGAGTAGCAAGATCTTGTAGAAGAGCTGATTTCAAAATGGGATCTTGGGTTGAGTGATCACAAGTGGGTATGATTTGTTAATTTGCAAAATAGGTGAAAGATGAGGTTGGGATTTAATAGCAAACTTTGAGAAATGTAAAAATGAATTAGAGAAATTGTCTGCATTGTGGAGTGGAGTGATTGAAGTGTTCAGAAAGTGTCGAATTACTCTTCAGGGTTTCTGTTCCAGATGAGAGAAGAAAAGGTAGAAAAGGGCTTAGAGGCTTCACAGGGTGAAGACACACCTCTAGCAACCTATTAGTTTGATCTTAATATTATGCGCAATCTTGGATTTTGGAAAAAAACATAATTAAAGACAGTGAAAGATGTTGTAAAAGAGTGGATAGAAAATGTGATCAAATGCAATGTGGTTTTATCAAAGGTAGAAAGTGTTGAGCAAACGTAATGGCTCTTCAATAACTTATTTCGTCTAGTTTGAACTAGGGCATTAGATATAGTTTCCTATTGGGCTTTGATGTTTAATGTAGGCAGGAAATGATACAGCAGCTCTGAATGACTAAGTGGGGAGGCCAACAGGGAGGCTTTCCTGGGTTATGTTGAGAATTAGCAGAAGGGGGTGAGAGGCAAACCAGCAACCACTGTAAAGGTAACACAGCTGGGAGCTGTTATGGTGTGGAGAAAGATCCTGCTCTCCCTTGGGATGAATAGAAATTCTTGATTGCAGTCATCAAATGTTTCATCCCATTTCTGTTCTTAGCAGAAATAGAAAAGCCCTTTTCTAGAGGCTGGCATTCACATCCCGGAGGCCGCAGATGAGTGACGTGTATTTGTCAGTTGTACAGTGAAATGGTTGGTGTGATGGCACCATTGCAAAGGACAAGGGGATGCTTATGGTGCACCAGGTGAAGTACTTTTACTAGGGACAGAAATGTGTAAGGCAGTATTTAAAGCAGCATGTGCAACTATGGTCACTGGATTTGGAGGCAGGGGGAAATTGCTCCTGCTCATTCCATTTCCCTGGTCAGCCTTACAAATTCAGTCTGACAAAACAGGGATTTAAAAACGCAAATGTTTTTGTACAGCTAGAGCAAAAACTGGGGAGAGATGATTTCTTAAAATGCATTCAGAGAGGAGGACTGAATTCCAGGTAAAGAACATTAGTATCAGAACTTCATAAAATAGGAGTAGTAATTGGTACCTTGTAGCTCAGAAAGAGGTGTAAGTGTCATAAAACTCATTAGAAGACCTTATGGAAGGGAAGGTGGTATTTATTTAGAAGACCTCTAAATAAGTTGACTTTGCCTCTTAACACCCATTCTTTTATAGATTTCATTCACTCACTTGTGTATTTGCAAACACCTAAGCTGTATGGGAACGAGTGATCTGACCTGGATCATTTGTGGGCAGTAGAGAGGGTGTCAGACCCTCACTGCATCTCCGGGGTCCCTCTGATGAAAGCTTAGGTTCGGACAGCTTAGTTATGTCCTTTAGAAGTTGCTGGCTGTTATAAGGTGGATTTTTGCCGCTGAATCTCACTGAAGCTTCTGTAAATCATAGGCCAGATTGCTGCACATTTTGTTTTCCCTTGCTTGGAACCTATGTCTGTAGTGTGCTTTGCTGTTGGGCTAACAGAAAAATGGTGTGTGATATTCTGCAAGCTTCTCATCCTCCTCATGTTGGGACACGGAGTCTTCCACTGTAACCTGACTGTCCTGGGCTCTTACCGGTCTCTTGCCTTCAGTGCTTGACACCCTCCTCACCTTTGGGACCAGCATCCTTTGTTACCAAGACAGGCCATTCATTTAACCCTTTGTTCTTGCGCTTAAAAAACACGTTTCCATTCACACCGCATTCACGCCAAGCTTGATTTCTGGGATTGCCTCACTCTAGGTCACTTTTGCTTGTGTGTTTGTAGCTGTGTTGTATTAAACTGTTGCTTGAGGGCTTGCGCTGGACGCTTGTGGGAGGTTTTCTCTGGGGTTTATTTTGGTGCACAGCATGGCTCTTGGAAGAACGTTGCTTTGAATTCAGCTGGGAAGATGTTGGGAATGGTGATGAGCCTTACCATGTGGCCATGTCTTTGGGTGCCCAGCTCAAATGTTCAGGGGTTCTGAACCCTTGCCATGTTTGGGAGCAGGAAGGAAACTCCCCCCGTGTTAGAGAGCAGGGAGCTGGGGTTTTTGCCTCTGTGTAGTGTGACCTGTCATCTGCTTCCTTAGATTATCTGGGAATGCCATTGAAGTGCCCTGCGGGGAAGAATAACAACGTGGCACGCGTACATAGTGTTTCCCCAGAACGCTCTTGTCTCAGCAGCTTTCTCGGCTAGAAAGACGTCTATTTTGTTAGCCCTGAGTGGGTATTCCTTTTGCAAAGCTGTGTAGTTGCTCTTTGAAGCCATTTAAAATTCTAAACCCTAGTGCCAAGCTGTTCTGCCTTGGCTCTGAGCGGTATGGGGGGCCTCATTCAAAATGTTATTCACGTGCCGCTTTAACTGGGACCATACGTAAATTCTTAAACCAGCTCTTCTGGGCTCTGGAGAACGTACAGCCTTTCCCAAGCCCTCAAAATGTTTCTGTGGAACCCAGAATTATAAGCGGTGCTTGTCTGAAAATGCCCATGAAAGCTGTTCCAGCAGAGGTCAAGTCTTGGTGGTAGAGCGTAGATGCGCTGGAGCTGCAGGTCTGGAAGGCAGAACAGCTGCCCAGGAATTAACTGGGGGATTTTTTTTTTTAAGGTGGATGACATCAATAAACTGAGGTAGATTATCTTGCCTTTTCTGAAAAGGAATTAGAGTATTCCAATTTTAGTGGACTGTTTTTCTTCCTCTTCAGGGCTTAACTGCTTATAGATTATACCTTATGCAAATGTTAACTTTGCAGCCAAAACGCTTCTCTAAAGGGCACCTTGCAAAGGGCTACGACCAGCCTCCACAGCTTTCGCAGAAAATCGGTAGGCTCCTGGCATCTGCCTGTTAGAGCATATTGACTCAACTTTATATAATTGAAGTCATATGAAATAACGATTAATGTATTTATCTTCTTGTTCATCCTTAATGATGTTGGAAATTTATGTATTAAATTGGAGGTCTGAAATAACTACATTGGGAGAGATACTAGAAGAATCCTCTTGAGCATGTAGAAAACTTCCATGTCGTTAAGGAAGTGAATGCTGTCTGAAGAGGGCTGAAAGGTTGAGTGTTAATTCCCTTACAAAGCTGTAATCCTTTGTGGATGTTTTGTACGTAGAGACAGCTGATGCCTCCTACAAAATGGAGAACTGGAGAAGGCAGAAATTTAAAATCTACCTGTAGGAACCCCAAAGTTGGGAAGGAAGGAATCTCTAAAATCTGTTACAGGGTGGGAGCAGAAAGATCCAAAAAGCCTTTGATTGAAAATTTTTTTTTTTCTCTCATCCCTGCTTAGGACTGTGCCTGTTTGTTGTTTTTTGTTTGTGTGTTTTTTTTTTTCTTTCTTTCCAGTGCTGAAGGTCAACACTGGGATTAGTTTTATGTACTATAGTTGCTCTGTCCTGTTGCAGGTGGGACAAGCTGCAAGTGAATGCGTTTTCTGAGTTCATAGCACGTTTATTAGCACAGCTCTGTGAGTGCTGCTAGCAAAGAAAGCGCTGTTTCCTGCAGCCGGGAAGAGATTGGAAATGAAGGAGACAGAACTGGTGGAAAGGCTGCGTGAGCACCTCTGGCTTGCATCTGGATACCTGCCAGCTTTTCCTGCTCTGTTTGTTGGTAGTGGCAGCGGGCAGTGAGTTTGGTGTACCATGCTGAGCGTTGCCGTGTCCCCAGGGAAATACCAGCCTGGAAACAGTAACTGTGATCTGTTCCTGGCTTGGTGTAACTGACTTACTGATGTGCCATCCTGTACGGTGTATTTGGAGCGTGCATCAATTTCAAACTGAGACAAATTTTATAAGGTGGAATTAATGAAACATATTCCTCCATAAAAGTAAGTGATCCCACAAGGCTTTTGTGACTGTAAATTTTGTGGGGGCTGAAACGAGCAAATTGGAAGAAAGCATAATGCTGGAAACCTGAAATTACAGCTCTGAAACTGAAGGCAGGTTGAGGGCTGCACCCCGGTCTGTGAAGCGCTGTCTTCAAGGGCTGCTGGCAGGGTATGTGCTTGAACTTCACCACTTGTACTTGACTGCCGGGCTCGGTATGAGGCTTTTCTCTCTTTGGAGAGAAGTCCATTCTCTTCCTACCTGCTGGTTTTTTTAGACGTAATCCAGTGTGACTTGGGGAAAACTGAGCAACTGAATGTTGGCCCTCAGACTCACGTTCCTGCTCTGCAAAGCTGTGGGTGGCTCTTTTATTCCTCTCTCTTCATATCTCCTCTTCCTCCTCTATCTCTGTCTCTCTCCAGACAAGAAACAAGTTGCTTTGAAAGACTCTACTTGCACCTTGGGAAGCGAGTTGCTATACGTAGATGGTTGCATCTGTACAGTTTGAGTTACCTGTTTGAGTTTCCTTGGCCAAATACTTGAGTGCTTTAGAAAAGTATCTGGTGGATACAAAAATAACTTGCTCTATGTTATGGATCATGTACGTGCCGTGTTGGAAGTCCCGAGTTCCCTATTGCCCTCCATAATTCATATGGTGACTCAGTGTAGTGTACTTTCTATGCTGTTGCTTTTAAATTATGCATGCAGAAAGAAAACCTAGCGTTATCTGAGGCTGTACTGTTCACCTAGCAAAAAAGTAGCCTCTGCAGTATGCCGAGCTCTTCTGTATATTCCAAATCTACAGCTGGTTTTGACTCAAGTGCTATTACTCAGTGCTGTTTTTATTTAGGCATGAACGTTGGTGTTTCTGCCTGTCACGTTTCCTCTGAAGACTGTTCTTCAAAAATTGCCTGACTTGCTTTCTGTAGCTGGTTTGGGTATCTTGCAGTGTAACTTCCATGCTACTTTAGTTGTCTTTGTCAACTTGCTTTTTCACTCTTGATTCTCCTCCCTTTTCCTCGCTCTCCGTTCCAGCATGGAATCAGCCTTGCTCCTACTCCTTTCTCATTCATCTCATCCAGAGTGTGTTCATCCAGCTCTTTCTGTTCCGGTTTTCACTGTGTCTCCATCATTTTTCTACTCTCTAGGTTAGTTTCCTTTTCACATCTTGCCAGCCTATCTATTTTTGCTAGTGTCTTGTCTGTTCTCTCAGTCAGCTTCCCTCCGCTTCCAGCACGCTTCCCCCAGTATCCTTCCGCTGCCACCCAGCAGGGCAAAACGCTTTTTTCCAGGTCAAATTCAATGACTGTCTGTCAGCCTCGGGGATTTGTGTGTTACACAAAGAGGAATTCCCCTGA